ATGTCATGAAAATTTTACGCAGCTATTTAGTTATCCATCTAGAAAACTTTCCTAAATTCGACTTAGAGAGCTTTTATCAACGTCTTTGTGCTGACATTTTTCACAACGCTTGGGAGGCTTATTCCACTACGCATGTGAAAGAATCAACACTTTATTCGTGTGTTGCACCTTTCTATGTTATGTAATATATATTTTAATATAAATACTAGGTTGTTGTGTAAGTTGTGTCATTTTCTTCGAACTGGAATTTCCCTTTAGGATTTTATGAGTGGGAATAATGCCTCTAACCATTCGAAAAATCTTATGGCCTGCAAAACTTAGTATTTTGTTATATTCTTCAATTTTCAACTACGTTAAAAAGTGTAGCTAAGAAACTACATATTTCGATAATTAGATAGTTTGAGATTGGCTTTCCGCACTGACTTTGAACGAGAGCTTACTCATTCTGACACTGGTCGGTTAGTACCGTCACCTGCCGGGTGGTTTCGCAGAATCCACGAGGCTACGCTGAGTGCTTCTCCTTCAATCACCTGCGTGCCCTCGGGGTCTCAAACTTCAGTGAGTTGGTGGAGACGTTTGGTCGGATAGTCACAGATTGTTATGATCCATTCGGGCTCCGAAGGAGGCGATATCGCCGAAACGTCAGCCTAATAAAGCCTGTTTACAAACCTCGTGAAGAGTTCAAGAAAACAATAAACTCACCGATGATTAGTGTTTCAGGAGGTGGCAGTTCTTAGACCCTGTAAATGAGATTATTTTTGCATCGGTTCAAAATGATGTGTGCTACTGAGTCCTCTCAATTTCCTAGTGTCCAAAATCAGTTTGAAAGTGTTTTCCATAGTGAGCCACTTAGTTTTGGGCTCGAATATAAATCAGGTTTTTTGAGATTCCAGTAGCATTCACATTATAATCGACAAGATAAAGTTTTAAAACTAAACGTTTCAATGAATGTTGCATTCTATTGCACTCTCTCACTACACATTCGATGTACTATCGAGGTTTTCGTAAGATTACTGGGATCAGTAGGCTTGAAGATGTTTTTCTTCCTCGTAGTATCACTTGGTATCATATTTCCAAGCTGTAATTTTGTGAAGTTGCTGTTCCGGATCATCTTTTAGTGAAAGGGCAATCAAGCAGTTCTTCGCGAATGGTTTCTTCCACTATCAAAAGATTGTACTTTGGGTATGACCAGCTGACTCCACTGCAGTATCTAGAAATTACTGCAACCTTCTCTAATGCTGTGTTTCATGGGTGGTTTAGCATAGAGGTCGATGTTAGAAATTTAGTCTATTGCCACGCTTCAATCAGAACCACTTCCTTTTTAGTCAGTTTCGTAAAAGAAATTTCAGCACAAAAGAAGTATTTTCTTGATCACCTAATGTTTTTGAACAGTAAAGGCTTCATGCAAAAACTTACTTTCATCGTGCACACAAACTGGATGGAGATTATGCAGTTACCACCTAAAAGCTTTTGCTCAATCCGAACACCAGCAGTCTATTTTATTATTAAGGAGGATTTGCTTTCTCTGATAACAATTGAAATCTTCATTCTCCGTGTTCTTCTTTTCCAGTACTTAGTATATTTATGTCACTCCACACATCAACCCCACGGTTCCGTTTACGATGCGGTACAATTTACTACCACAAAACCCTTTTTCCTTCGACCTGATTCCACAATACCCTTCACTTTCACTGCCCTTCCAATCACTAGGTCACTGTCCTCTAAAATTATTTCTCGTACTGAAGCCTGGCATTAAAAATTTGTAGACAATTATAAGTAACTAGCTCTACGATGCACTGCATATTGCATGTATTGAGCTGTATTTGTTTAGAAATACATATCTGCAGCAACATCCAAACATTACGATATGCAGCACTCCATTCGTAACAACTTTAGAGAGATTCGATTTGGGAATGAGCTGTGTATTGTGTTCCAAATATGCTATTTCCTATTTGCCTTATTGCCAGAGCTGTTGTCACCAAGTTCAAGCGTCCCTTTGAGGAACATTCTTTATTTGATATGGTGCCTTGGCCTGTAGACCTTAAGAATACTTCTGAGTTGATCTCAGAACTCAGTTAGGATGATCATTGTGGCTGTTGTGTATCTGAGAAAGGGGAGCTATATAGAACACGATTATCCTGATAAAGCGATTGAGTACCATAGAGTCCTCTATCACAATTGATCCAACGTAGCTGCAAAAATATTGAGTTAAAATCTGGGCACTCCTTTTTAAGTGATGCTCCTATCAATAATTGATATAGATCGAGTAAGAATGTTTGTTATTCAAGGAGCCCAAGGAGCGAAGAGGTGTCGACTGGGGGCTAGAATTCAATTTTTAGTATTTCTTTAAGTGTATGCGCTGACCCACACTGGATGTGGCAGGAGAATCAGCTAAGTTATGCTCGAAAAAGGTAAGCGCTAAGTATACACTTTATGCGTCTTCGATGCATCACGAGTTTACGAAGCATCTTGAGTCTGAGCTGGATTTAGCTTCATACATCTTGGGAAGGGTGGCCGGGTTTTGAATTGAAAGTATCCCTTTTACGATGATGCTACGTTATGTGCAAAATCGTTGCCCCAAGAAAAAAAAACTTGAACTCGAACTTTCTTTTCTGGTATTATCCCTATTCATTCAAAGCTGTACACCGTCTGTTCTCATTCTTGCTGTATGCTTGTTGCGCTATGTACTTTTACTGTTTTGATTACCGCTTCTATTTTTAAATACTTCCGAATGAGCTACCTCGGAAAGTTGGTCTCTGAATGAATAAATGTTCTGCTTGAAGTTACGCTCTTCTTTCATCCAACCTTCTTTTCTCTGAAAGCGGCAACCCTTCGGAGAAGCAAAACAGCATCATATTGCCGCGTATCGTTATACTCCAAAAGAATCCTGAAAGCAGGAAACCAGAAATGCGAGTGTCGGCTCATCAGAACTGTGGTTCATTTCTTGGAGTACGGTTTACCAGTGCGCACAGACCTTTAATTTTATAGCTTCCGAATTGATCGGTGTCGCTTATTCTCGGTGACTTCTTTTTGCGACCTCTTGCCGACATTATTTGATAACGGAATGGTGGTGCCAAATCCTCGAGTTGATAGTTACGTCTTGACGCAGTTAGTTCACTTGATTCGCTAGCCCACGCCGAAGGCGTGGCACTAACCTAACTACTCCAACTTTCCATAGACCACATGAGCTTTTACCTCATCTAAAATCATAATGATTCAGAGGAGAGTTTGTCTCACGAAGCAGAATTTTCACCTGCATTCTTGTGAATGTTGTTAAATGGTAATGTAGAAGAGCCTATATGTATGTGTATGGATGTAAAGTGAGCTACAGAATTTTCGTGGTAAGTCTAAAACCAGTTCTCAGCTCATGTGTGACTAATCATTAGTAAGAGTCAACTGATCGTCAATTACTTTTGTCTCCTCCGTATGCTCAGCGCTCCTCTTCTTCAACAGCCAGTCAACCTAATCGTTAAATCATAGGATGAGTCACAATGATAGCGTAGACCCCTCCCTGAACACTAACCTTCGAAACTCGCTTGTCAACTTCTCGCTCCCACCCTTCCCCTGTCAGAACCCGTCTCCTTCATTAATGGACTTGTAGAGGGCCGTTGTCCTAGATATATCTTCAGTTACTGTTTCTCGTTACAAATAAACTATTCTACCTATCTTCCTCTCTTCGTAAACAATTATGTATCAAAAGACCCTGGCCATCCCAACGAATTGAGGGTTCCCCATCTATTACAAGAATGGAGACCACTGGCATCTTAGATGACTTCTCACCTTCGTGTACTTCACTTCTTCTAATTGGTTTGTTTTTGAGTAGTTAAGTAATATAACTAGAATGGAGTAAAATGCACTCGGATAAGTGGTCAGAGATGAGCGGGAAGTCTCTACGTACATTACAAAGACGACAGCTTCGGAATGTTATGTTTCCTATGAACTTAGTCAGTAGTTATATTTCTGGTTAGAACACGAAGTTGATGAAAATTGTGAATGTATAGAAATCGCAATGATATCGGTAACATGGGGCATGGCCGGCCCTCCAGCGTGCCTCCGTCACCATCACGATTGAGGATTAAAAGTACTCCGTGTAGGGTGATACGTTGGCATTATATTCTCAATGTCGCGTGTACATTCGCGGATATTTACATAAATCATATTGGTTAACGTTGTTTTAGCGGTGTACGCCTTTGCATGCGAACTGGGTTCTTTTCGTAACCACACAATGTCATCAATCTTTTGGACATTTGCAATGGTCAAGTGTTACTCACTACTGAGCTCATTCCAATCACATGTGTCTTACATTGGTCCAGTTACATCTTTGGATTCCCGTCAATTTTTCGCGACACACGCTGAGCTCAAGTCATGTTCAGTAGCATTCTCTTCATAGTTGTACAATACATATGTTAGTACTAGTTGAATTATTCAATTTTGCCACCTCTCTGGAACATTTTTGACCATTTCTTTTTGGTTCATTTTGGCCACTGAAGCTACTTGGTAATCGAGCTTTTCTTTCGTCTGACCATATACTTCAGTTCAAATGATCATTTAGTTAAAATATAACATGATTTGATTACGTGAGTTTGGGAACCTTCATCCCAGATTTGTCGATCTTAATTCCTAGGCGCTAAGTAATTATGAAGGATCTTCTACCTTTTATCTAGGATCTATATCAAGATTACGAGCCAGCTTTGCCCATTTGTCGTTGCAATATTTGCTGCTTCTGCTTTGTCTTAGTTTAGCTTTGTTTAAGAATAACGTTGATAACCGAATCTTCAGTTTCCGTTTCTGATTTCCTTTCGATAATTGCTATTGAATACTCATGCGATTTTTCTGATTGATCCTTCTTGTTGCTGGTTCTGAAATGATATTCCTTTCCCAACCTTGATGTACCGCTTCACAGTGATCGCTTCATTTGCAATGTTTCATGTAGAATTCTGTTTATTTGTGCGGATACATGAAGAAAGAGGTGAATATTCAACTTCGTTTTAGATCTCCTGATGCCGGCAGTTAAAACGGGATTTAATCGGGTGTTAGACGATTTGGCACGTCGTCAGTTGCATCTCGATTTTGAATTTGGTACGGCTGCCGAGAAATACGAACCAGTTCGTAGCATTGGAGCGGGAGCGTTCGGAATCGTTTGCGAAGCTGAAGAAACGACCAGTGATGGGGGCCTCACAAAGGTGAACGATGATGAGTAATATTATATTCGTACGAATGAATCGACCACAGCGCCAGGTTGAAAATGTAAAAAAGCCCCAATTGAATGTAGGCCTAGGGTATAGTTATGTAAAGAGGTTGAAACACAGTTTTGACCAATTTTTTTGTTCCTTGCTTTTCTGTAAGTTTTTTCTCATATCTTATCCTGTTATTGTCCATTGTGGAGTTACACTGATTAAAGGCCTAGCTTACGTTGAAAATGCTTTTCGAGATTCCTTTCTAGGATGAACCTATGGCACGCAAGCATAGCCTATGAGACGCTGTCGGCTCGAAAAGCGGGCATGAGTATATACGTTCGTCTGAGGATGCGCGCAGCAAATTGAAATTCATGACGATTCTGACGACTCTGACGCCTATCATTGAGCCACAGGTTCAAAGTAAAGAAGATTAACAGGACCAATTGATCCTACTATACTACTCTACTTCAAATTTGGGCCTCAGTGGTAGGCGCTAAAGTCGCTCAAACCGCCACTCGCCACGAACTTCGCCGCACACATCTCCGGGCAAACGTACATGTCCCGCCCCCCCCCCCCCCCTTGAAAAAGAGTGACGATTGGGCGTAACAAGGATCCCCAAAACCGACTCAGCCGAAGTACACGCCCAAGGCGTACAAGTTTTTAAGCGGTTTAAAAGCTGCAGAGGTTACCACTAGCACTGAGACCCACTTCGTGCACGCAACAGCGTCCTACAGCCAACTGTATGCAATGGCGCGAACAGCTCGTCCGAATACCCCTTCCATGCAGCTTTTTTCGTCACAGTCTCGTCCAGCCCCTGTTTTTTTCTTTTTTGGAGGAGCCTTATGTTTCTCTAAGTGCGCCGATTTTCGCGTCAATCGAGAAGATATAAATCGTGGAGTTCATGAAATCGTCCTGCAGAGCAGTACCACCCTTTGTTTTTAATCTCCATCTTATAATGTGTCCTAAAACCATATCGGCTTCGAAAAAACCGTCAGGATTATCGAGATAAGGTGGTAGCTGTGTTCATGAATACTTGAAACAAAAGAAGTTCAAAATTCTTTGCATGAAAACGATGCTCTAAAGTCGGTCTGTCTGCATCTCCCTTTTTAAGGCTATGAATTTTTACTGGTCCTGCTTGAGTCTTCAACATGTTGGGAAGATCATAAATCCTGATTGCTGAGCGAACAAAGCGGTCACCACCCTCGAGAATTTACTATTGCCAGCTGGGTACATTGAGGAAGATATGCAAAGAAAATGCTCATGAATTGAGGAAAAATGTGAGCTTAGTGAAGTTCAAGGACGTCTTGGAACAATGTTGAGGTGTCAGGAAGAGATGAGGCGCAGAGTGTACTACAGAAAACAACCATTCGAGCAAGTAAATTGGGCGAGGACAAAGTGTGGTTCAGCCGCTTCCAAGTAACTGTTGTTGTTTTCTTGTTTCGATATTTATATCTTTGATATCGTAGAAAAAAAAAAGCTTGAGTCGGATCCATCAATTGTGTGTGACTACTTTTGTGAAGTATAGCATTTGTCATTGCCATCAGTCAAATGACGGAAATATGCCTCATTGCCAGCGACTTTATTACAAACCAGAACTTCTTGAAGGCGAACATTGATTCTATTTCTGCTAACAACTTCTTGAAGACAAGTTCAGTGCTAAAAAGGAGATCCGCTAAGTTTTCGTTGGAGTTTTATGGGTCACTATGTGCATGTACTTCTGATTCGTACGATTGAAACCACTTCACGAATTCCCATTACAGAATGTTCAGTTGGTAGCCGGACTACAGCAGGACATTCACCGTTGCTCAATACTTGAATTGTTAGCCACTTACACTGATTGTGATTAGTTGAGCAGCAGCCCTCTCTAGATGAACGACATACCAAACCAATTGCTCCTGATCGAGTTCATTAGACATACCACTTAAGAGCAGCAGAATTTCTTGAACTATATGTTGAATATTGGTCCGTCTCTGGGCGATTTCACAGTTTTTATTGGCAACCTAAAACTGAGGAGGGCAGAGTCGAATTCAAAGTTGTCACTACAACGGGGGCTCGTTCGAGGGATGACGGCAAAATGGAATGGCGAAGTGTTTCAGTTCAGGCCACAAATGTACCAGGTCTAGTACGAAATTTCAATATCATAAAGGGATGAAGAAACCAGTCTCGATCACGCAGTTATTATGTGTGTGAGTACAGTGAACACGAAAGTTACCAAATTCCACGCTTCCATGGCAAACATTTGACATAATCTATCCTCTAATCGCAATTAGGTTTTTTTTGTTAACTGTTGTTTTTCGCCGCAATACACGATGCGAAAGTCTCACAAGGTTGGCGAGTTATGGACAAAACTGCGACTTTGGACGAGACAAGGTGTTAAGCCGTTGTACGTGGATGCTGTTAAGCTATGGCATATAAACATTGAAGGCGAGAGCAAGCGAGTTCTCGCTAGTGTAATGGATATGAGCGAGGTGCTCGGAAAGGGCAAGTACGGGTTCGAGTGCCGTCGAAGGCTGAAGTCTTGTCCACAATTCGCCGAACTTGTGCGTGATTAGGTGCCTTATTGCTACATCAACTTTCTTAGCATGCCAAAGAAGTTGCATATATTCGTATTACGGTTCTTTGACCACCAGTCAGTAAGATAGTGCTCATGCACACTTTTTTTTGCCTGATTTCACTATCTTCAGGTAGCGATAAAGAAGATTGGTCACGCTTCTGCGACACCTACTCTGGCACGTCGTACCCTACGTGAAATTCGTGTGCTACGCCATGTACATCATGATAACATAGTGTCAATGAGAGATATTTTCCGCACAAAAGGACCATTAGGCATAAATGTTTATTTGGGTAGGTTTTCCTTGTTGTGAACACTTATACTATTCTACTCCATATTTTTAAGAACATTCTCAGTATTCATGTCGTTGACTTGAGAGAAAGACCTAGTATGGCTTCTCGAAAATTAGTAAGCAGGCATAGAAAAGTAGAAAGTGAGCATAGAAAATATACATGCTGAATAAATGAGGAAGAATTGGTGATTTCAGTGATGGATCTCATGGAATATAGCCTCCATCAGGTTATTCATGGTTGTTCAAATGAACTCGACGACTATTTGATCAGAAGATTCTTATACCAATTGCTGATGGGACTTCGGGTTAGTGCTACATGGGTGGTCAAAGTAAAAACCCACTTGTGATTTCTTTTTCTAAAAGTCTTAAGATCATCCCAATTTGAGAACTCTCTCGTTCTCACTGCAGTTTGAAAATTAGGATTCTTGAAGAAGACGCTTCAACTTTTCTGGTCATGCATTCGTATTTTACTTCACGTACTCTCTTGGATGGCAATCTTGGATTTTTTTAATTTTTGCTTCCCGGAGTGTTTCTCTCAAATCAGGAACGATAATATGGTCTTCTATAGGAATGTGGTACAGGGGAGTGCTTTGCTTTTTCCTGATTATTCAGAATTTGGTTTCTATCGCCGACAGCAGCTCTGATGCATCGCAGGTTTTCTAATTCAATTCATTCCCACACCCAAATGATTGAGTCGTTCATGCTACCCGTTCCATTCAAAAGTTGTTCCAAGCATGACAGCCAAACTTGACCAACCCAAAAAATGGCAAGGCCATCGATGCTACTGCAGCCAAATAGAAAACCAAAAGCAATCAAAAACCAAAGAGCTAACCAGGGGGTAGAGCTTCCACATCGGAATGTCCCCCTTTTGCTTTCAGAAGTATATCGGTTGTAAGGCTCAAAACCTAGGAGTTCAGAAAGTATTATCACCTGTATCACCTCTCGTCCGTTGATCATCGATTTCCTAGGAAGGGTGCCAGTAACATCTCCATTCATTCATGCCGCGAGTCATAGTGGTCCAGTGAATCGCACTCGCTCGGGATACGGGGCGAAACACTCTTTTTGTTCAGAGATTTCGGAAAGAAGTCTGACCGCCTGGCTGCCGGCCGTCCTGGTGATCGTTTGACGTTCCGAGTGCTCCAGTCAGCAACCGCCTTGGTCCAACGGTATCACGGCACCGCATAGCGTGTGGGGCCTGCCTGGTTGGCACATTAAAGGGCATCCCTGATCTTCGTTCGTCGACGGAGCTCGGGACTCCGGATTTGCTTCTGCACTTGCGTGTACGAAATTCCGAGCATCGTCCTTTCCACATTGGGTTGAATGACACTAACAGCATGCTCATCCTACTATCGTAGAGTCCAAGTCTCTGAGGCGTATGTCGAGGCAGGAAGAACCGCAGTATCGAAAAGGTGAGCGCGGAGCCGGATGTTCTCTGTGTTTTTCACTACTCCCTCAATGCTCTTAAATCTTCTCCACGCCGCGCGTTTCCGTCTGTTCAGCTCTGGTGCTAGGTTCTTCATCATATTGACTTCCCGACCTAAATACACGTAGCTGGAGCATTTAGAGTGTTCCGTTCAGTACGAAAGGAGTACTAATCCGTTCCGCATGATTATCGTCTTCGTTAGGTTCAGACGTAATCCGTTCATTCCACAAGCCTTGTCGAAATTAGCTAGCATTTGTTCCGCCTGCTCGACGTTGGGTGGTATAAGCACGTCTTTTGCAAAGCGGAGATGATGTAAGTAGCGGCCGTCGAACTTCATTCCCATTCTTTCCCATTCCACATGACGCATGACGTTCTCGAGAGCGGCACTGAAAGTTTGGGCGAGATGGATCGCCCTATCAAACCCCCCTCTTCATGTTGATGATGACTTCTTTATAAAATAGTGATCCTGGTAGTGAAGTTGTTGTAGAGCTCACGAAGCATCCTTACATACTTAGTACGAGTACCTCGTTTGTCCAGGGCTTCGATTACCGCTTCTGTCTCAACGGTACCAAAGGCCTTCTATTTGATAAACGTAATACGCAACGACTCTTTGTATTCTCGCGATACTTCAGTGAGTCTTGTAACGTTGTGGATGTGATCGATTGTGTGAACCCTCTCCGAAACCCTGCTTGCTCGCATTGCTGTCCCTCATCTAATTTTCCAATCTGGCCGGCTTGTATGGTCCGAAAGGTCTCATCAGCGTTTCTCTAATATTCGATGCAGTTTTGCTTAGGGCTTTCATTATTCTTTTCATTTATATTTATACTGGTCGAATCGCCGGGAGCACTGATCTTATACAACACTGAAGGCTAGAGTGCAGAGGAGGGGTAGCCGACCTGACCTGTGCCTAGAAACGGTCCTAGGCGAAGGAATATGGTTTCCTCTCTAGGGGAGGAGTCGCGGGGTTTGGGCACCATGATTACCTCGTGCAAGAAGTTAGGATGGGGTACGAGTTGAATCTTCAGTTGACTCATCCACCTCGATACCCCTTCCCTCCTAAAGCTCACATAAAAACTGTAGGTTGTCGGCTAGGAAACGTCAATGAGCATAATTATGGGCTAACCTCCTTATGTTGAATTATGTTGAAAAAAAAAGCGGAGGGATCCCAACTACATTATCATCTCCGGTTTTTGTGTAGACATACAAAGTCCGATGCCAGTACAGGTTGAAATCCCAGTTTTGAATTACCCACACCACTCCACATTACTCACTTCACCCCGCAGTACTCACTCTACTCCATCAACCTACCCACCAAGTTACTGCCTTATATATGAGAAGGAAGTGTAGAATAGATCAAGGTTTTCCATTGCACTACTTTTGTCGTAATCATAAGTTTTGCGGACGGAGAGACCGACAAACATACAAACCGACACACCAAAGTTCTGCTTTATAAATTAGAGAGATATAAAAATATAGGTATGTAACTCTGACGGCACGTCGGTTTGCCTACACGGCTAAGATTGGGTCCGCCACGTGTTAGAGCATGGCAAGCTACACGTGGATATTCATATGCCAAAAGCACTAATAAAAATGGGCCTCAATAGAAAGTTATTATATATAATATTATACTATTACACAATAGACTCGTTATTATATATTATACAATTATATGAAGTGTTATACAAGTCTAAAAGTCACTATGATCTCCTAGTCCAGCGATCTCACTTTTGGAGGCGTAATCGTGTGCACAGTCTCCTGCACCAACATAGGTATTGCGAGAAAATCACCAGTTTAGGAGGGCTCCTCAGATGACGAATGTTTGTTACATCGTCTACGACTCTTTCGAATCTGGAGAGGTATTCTCTCCAAAGTTGTTAGATGTTAATGTTGCTTTAGTATGCTGTGAAAACGATACGAGTTTTGTGCAGGTGAGTAGGAAGAATACCATAGATATCCTTTTCAACGTCTGATTATCACCTCTACGGTTCACTCGCATTTTTCGAGATGACTGCTGGCAAGTTCCAGCAAGACGACGTCATTTTTCGGTTTGATAACAGGTATTTATCTACGGCGTCTGTTTCAGTATCTCCATACCGCCGGCATCGCTCATCGTGATCTGAAACCGTCAAACCTGTTGGTGAATAGCGATTGCACCTTGCGCATTGCCGATTTTGGTATGGCGAAACTTGCCATGAGAGATCAGATGGATGAAGCAGATGAGCACTGCTTTTATATGACCCAACATGTTGCGACTCTCCCGTACAGGTGAATGACGATTACTTGAAATTTTGCATAAGTGATGGATACTGCTAAAGAGGTCTAAGTCTATCATATCAGCATCTGATCGGAACGGGTAAGTGGGATGGAACGGAATAGAGAAGGGAAGCATCGGTGCGGCAGGGGATTTAACGGGTTGCAGCGGAGAGTAGGTAGGGTATGGACACAGAACTGTGCCTGGTATACGACAAGAGAGTCCCATTCAAAAAAATCTGTTCGCTTGGTGAAGATAACAAGAACTAACCTAAACAAATTCGAATGCCGCTCCATACCTAACTATGACACTGTATCAAAGGCGTAAGTGTGACCGCCTTGTAACTCATCTCTCAACAAGCTATTATAGTACACACTCGTTCAGGTTTTTTTCAAAAATTAAGCTGCTTGCACGTGCTTAACGAGCCTTGTTAGAATATACAAAATTTAGACAACACGAGCTCTTATCAAATCGAAAACAAGCATGCTCATTGATGTCGTCGTCCTACTCTACGAATAATTTCGAATAGAGAACCCAAATGGAGTATCACCGTAGGCGCATCACAGACAGTCACAGCTCACAGATACACGTAGTTGCTATTCTGCCATGATAGAGCTTTGTTTTTGTTTCTTGTCGCCTTCCTACTTTCTGTTTCTTATATTACTTTCGTTTTTTGTTTCATTGACACCCATCGGCACTTTCTCACCTGATCAGCACATGTGAAGAATGTTTTCGTTCTCCTGACTTCTGGTTGGGACCTTATGAGAATGTAATGTAAACTACTCCTTTGGTTTTCCTTCCCACATTTGTGGTAGTTTATTGGAATCACCTGATAATCCACCTACTTCTCCCAGAGAAGAAAACTGTTGCCCCTACGTCTCACGAGCATTTCAGAATTCCATTGGCTGTTCAAAGTTCCTTCTGCAACAAAAAAGTAAGAACCGTTCATCGGTTGACCGCGTGGCCCATAATACTTACATATGAAAATTTAGGTTGATGTCACTACTACTCGAGACGGAAATGAATAACCTAGTAATCTTGGAAATATAATCCACCGCTATGCAGTCCATCCTCTTATTATATATTTTATAAAGCGGGGCTCAATAGAAACATCATCGAAAAGTCTTGGCAGGTACTTTGGAAGCGAATTTTTGGCAAAGGAAGTGGTCATTGACAAGGGTGTGGCAGTGGTAAAAACCCAGTTTCTCCCAAGCGCTTGTTGCCTCAGACCTGTGACGACCGCACCGCTATTGCTATTCGAGAAAGTGATGATTACCCGGTTCGCCTCTATGAAATCAGTGTTTTGTGTTTACAGCTAGAACACTATAATCGAATTATGTGGCACGGTTCGAACATATGTTGGACAGTACGCCAAAATTACTAGGGTATCAGAATACCTACTCTCACCAAGGTCTTTCTTCAGAGCGCCGGAGCTGCTGTACGTGATGCCAGAACACTCGACGGCTGTCGACATGTGGGCTGTTGGATGTATATTCGCAGAGATGATACTGAAACGTGAATTGTTCCCTGGACGGAGTGTTTCCGGCCAGATCAAAATCATTCTCACGATGCTCGGCGCTCCATCACAAAAAGTACTGCCGTATAACGTTATAATTCTTTCTAGAAGAACGTTTGCAATCTCTCTGTACGTGTGTGTGTTTGTTCTGTCTCAAGTTTTTTTTTAGAAAATAGGTTTGGTCACAGTGAATTGCGTAGGGACAAACTTTTCGATATGTATGTATCATTCCTTACCTCAGATTCTGGACGAAATAAGATGTGAACGTACGCGGCGACTCATTGAGAATTTTGGGGACCACGCCCAACGACCATGGCCTGAAATAATGTACTGTAGGGAACGAGAGGTGATTCATTTTCAAAATCATTTTTCCAAAGGGAAATTTGATGCCGGTACAGTATAGCGGATTTTTACGGAAAAGGAAGCGTGTGGAACAGAGTGTTCAAATCTTGCGCTTCTTATTCTCACATTATCATAGCTGTTTATCTAGTGCATTCAGTATTAAAATGACAACTGAATGATTATAATATATTTCTGCGGCAAATTGCGCGGCGAAGTTTGTAACGATTTGAACGACTTTGGCGCCTATCGTTGGGGCCCAAATTTGAAGTAGAGTAGATCCGAAGGATCATCTGTCTCTACTAAACTACGCTACTTTGAGTTTGTGCCCCGAAAATTGGTGGCATATTCGTACAAATCATCATGAACTTCGCCGCGCAAGTTGTCGCGCGCATTCTCGGACGCACGTTCGTACCGTCCCCCTATGGCCTGCAATCATCATAATGCATTGTTATGTGCAGAATGTGCATTTGCAGTCAGTGTTAAAATGCTAGCTTTTGACGACTGAAGTGTCAAAACACTCTTATTTAGGTTTCGGACGAAATGATCGACTTGATCTCCAAGCTGATCGTTGTCGACGTTGAAGACAGGATTGATGTACAAGGCGCTCTCAACCATTCATACATCACACAAAGCATCAGCGCCGATGAGCTGCGGGCGCAGAAAGCTTGCCCTTTCAAGGTGGGCGATCAATCAATAGGAAATGCACTGCAACCTAACGTGTGTGCGAAAAACCCCTTCATGAATTCAGGTGAAAATGGATATGGCCGCAGTCGAGACGCTTACTCATCAGGAATTAACCCAGGCTTTAAATAGAGACGTACGATCAGCAGACTGTTCTATGTATGCAGTACATTCTGGAGGTGAGACAAACACCTTCACCAAATAATTTCTATAACAGCAAACATGTTTTCTAAAAGGAGGAATTTGATACTTCAATTCACGAGTCACAACGTGACTGGAAAAAAACCTCATTCCACAAAACCAAATTGAATCGGGATTATGTTTGGCTTCAACCGTTACTTTATGGGAAGTGAATGCGGGTAAACGGCTAAAACACCTATTTTGAATACGTGGACAGAATTATTGGGACTGCTAAGGTAGTAATCACATTTCTGTAGTTCAGAATTCACCATTATATAGGCCTAATAGTTCAAACTTAGCGACTGATTTTGTCCGGTACTTTTCATAAGAAACCTTGCCAAACTTCTTTCTGACACTGTTTAAACTGAGACCTTTTTTAAAAAAATTTCGGCTGGTTCAGGTTCCGAAGGCTCGAAGAACTCGACCGAATGCTCGAGCGCCGAATCGGAAGAGGGAAGTGGTACTCGGAGCGAATTCGGTGGTATGAGCCCCATCATGACCGCTCTATAACCGCTTTGCGCCTAACAATATTTCACTGGCATCAGTCGGGCACTTTGATGACCCTTTATTCAGAATTCACGAAACTCTAGGGCGTCATGATATTACAACTCTATTGATAGAACACGAAACAGTGTCAAGAAGCCAAGCAGCATATATAACTGTATTAATTGAATGCGTCATGGCCTGCTTCTCTTGCGTCTGTCCGCCTATCACCCGTATGCTACCGTTGGCACATACTTCTAGTCGTATATTATGTTCCTATTTATTTCTAGGCGAAGATACCCTTCGGAAAAATCGTGCCTATGTCTTCTTTTCGACGCTACTTCATTGCGCATGCTTTCACACCCTGACGACTGCTCAATTACCAATAATTATTAAGAAATGTTTGCGTCCAATATGTTTTCGCTAATATAATGTGCACATTCGACGTATGGAATATAGTACCTTGCGCGTTCTCACTCTCCTTTTACACTGCCGCTGACCCATTTCTCTGCCATCAGGACGACGTACCCATTTCTGACACTCTTTTTGCTAGTGTTGTTGGTGCTGAAGTTTCCGTATTCCTCACTGAATCTCACTCGATAACCCGTTCACTGCGATTAAATTTTCTTACAATTTCATGTTTCTATGTGCATTTTTCTTTGTAGATGAATTGCTTCTCTAGGAATGTAAGAAACATCTGCTTTCCTGTTCTATATTGCAACTCGAGATATAAAAGAGTGATTTTGTTGTTGTGCAAGCCTGGAACCAATTCCAGATCTGCAACTTTTACTACATCATTCCATACAACTTGTAACTGTTGGAAAGTACAAAAAACATACAGCATGCTCACGTTGAGCTCGCCTTTGCTTGCATGTCAGCTGCGTGTCAAGTGCACGTTGGACACTCGACGAAAAGAACTGCAATGAGAATCATTCAACGGATGTTGAACTGGATCTGTTATATGAGGCATTGGCAATCTTTCGAGCCTTATACTCTTCTCCAGGTCTACAAAACCGAGAATACTGTAGGCCCAGCACTTGCTATACAACCAAGTGACCTTTAACTGAAAAATGGAAATACTAATAATTCGAGAGCTGCATCGTACAAAGAAACATCTGTTGTGAGAGGAAATCACAACGAAGGAAGCGCAGAAAATGCGAACGTGAACAAAAGTGAGAGGCTGAGAAGTATTAGGTTGTTGAGAAAGTCTTGAACCGGTTTTTTGGGAATTTTGTATTCATATATTCTTGATCGCTTCCCATGATCTGCTACGTGACAATTGTAGATTAGTCTGAAGCGTCTCCACAAAAGGTATATACCAGTCAGTTCGCCCGGCTAACGCCGGGCTCCCCTCCTTCTCGTGTTAAAATGGCCGTTTTCAAATTTGGAGGCTTCGTTGGATGGGAACAGAAGTTATTCATTCCCGGCCAAACGCAAACACACAACACAATTCGAGCGAGCCCCGTCCGCCATAACGAACCTCCTCAGCTTCTGTGTGTTCGAGTAACTCGATTTATTTCCAACTTTTGAGCGCTCTCGGTCTACGGGAACAGGAGCTATGAATTCGCACTCAAACCCCGCCCACTGGCCCACTGTCGGCGGAGTCCGTTCTTGCCGCCCAGCATAAGTGATCCCATTGTGCCGCCTTCATTCCGACTAAATATGAACGCTCTAGGTCCAAGTTTAAGTTTTTCTCACAAACCCCGCTCCTTGCGGGCGGGATCCTGTTCTGCCACCCACAGTGTTCGATCTAACCTACCAAAGCACACCTCAAGCACATTTTTGCCCCAGTTTTGATGCCGTCTTGTGACTGAATTGGAAAACATGGCCCTCAGTACAGCTTTCGATGCACGCCACGCCCACTGTGGGCGGGGCTCCGCCCGGTGTGCTGTATACTTCTTGGGACATGGCCCACCCATCCCACGCTTGACCCGGTCCCTCCAGGCAGATTTGAAGGAGCTAAGAAATTTCGTGACAGACATACATAACGACAGACGACAGACAGAACGACAGGCGAAGCGCTTTACAGTAATCACCTGTTCGCCTGCGCACGGTACCGTGCGCTTCATAGCTTCTGATAAATAAATTTCCTTGGAAAAAAACCAAAGCGTAACCTTTCAGCAACGTTGTAAACCATCTTTTCCCGAGAAAGAAGCGAGAAGCGCTATAACCCAANAAATAGCGTTATAAGCCGTCTATCGAGAGCGCGCATATGTCGACCACGTACATTTGTTCATGCGCTCGTTTGTGGAATAACGCCATAACGCTTTAAAAGACCTTTAGAAAGGATTGTCGATTTCGAGTTTCCCACTTTCCTGTTGCCCCCACCCCGATTCCAGTCCTGCTACCCGCCATTAGTTCCCCCTACCGCCTGCATCTCTATCAAACTTGAAAGGGTCAAGCGGAGTCTACACATCCTCCTTGCCATTAGTTTTCCTATCTTGCTATCTACACCTCTACCGAACTTGAACTCTCCAAATACAAATTAACCATTTTGCGTAGCTCCCGCCCCCACTGAGCGGAGTTTACACATGCTACCTAATATTAGCGTTCCCAAGTTGCCATCTGCCCCTCTTCCAAAATCGAACGCTCCAGGTCGAAATTGGGTCAGATTAACAATTTTCGCCCAAGGGCCGCCCGCAGTGGGCGGAGCCCAGCTTAGGTCTCCTGCTCTCAAGTAGTTCGGCTCAATCCACACATATTCCTACCTGGCCTAGCTGTTCCAGTTAGATTTCCAGAAGCGCCATGTAAAATGGCTGCAAACTGACAAACAGAGAAACAGACAGACAAACAGATTTTGTGGTTAATATATAGTGTGGATATACAGCGGCGCTAAAAAGTTTTTTGCCAAATGCTTCTTCAGTCCTATTTTCCAGTTGTAACTCCTTGCCTACTGAGTCTAAGCATGCGAAATTTCGATTGTGTAGCATGGATGTACTGTGAATATTCATCACTATCACAATCTGATCATGTTCCAGATATCCCAAAGAGCTTCACTCGAAATCAACTGGGTATATAGGCATTGGTCTCTCTAGGATTTTTTTTTCCTTTCTGCCATGTCTGAGTGTACGAACGCTAATACCGAACACAGAAGAGGAAAAGAACGCACGTAATGTAAGAATAACTGCAAACGTCACTAACTTTGCTTCTAGCGAAGTTTGCTACCGCAACAACACTTTCCCCTTAATTATGTGGATATTGTTGCTTTGCAGTCAAATATTATTGGATAGTGGGAAAATGCCTCAGTTAAACATACAAAATTTCACGCGATTTGCTCCACTAAGAAAAAAAGTTATGAACGAAAAAGCGTAAAAGCGTTTGCGACTCTCGAGCGCTACTGTAGCTGAACTGATTTCCCTGACTTCAATCATGATGTCAATTCCACAGACCACCTTCGAGCCATTATCCTAATCATACAATCCGCTAAGTGTGTCTGATGGTGTGTTTATGTGTGCGTATGTGGTGTTTGCTCAACCGGGGAGTCATCTTCTGTCCCACTGTAACTAGAGCATTCAAGTTTGTCACCGCTTTTAAGGAGATAAGCGTGCGAGGAAACTTCCAATTTGGGCCTAGGGCCTTCAAATTTGGCCCGAGTACAGGCGGCAGGATTAGGAAACCGATGGTAAGTAGTAGAAAGTGGCACAACTGGATCGCGCTCGCGGGGCGTCGGGGTTATGGAGGGAGCGGACATGTGTGAAACGTGAAACGTGAAACGTGAAGGTTGAAATAAGAGGGGAATGAATCATATTACTTGAGCAAACAGGACTTGAGCAGGAGTTCGCCCATGACGGGCAGGACGCGCACAAAGTGTGTCGGCGGATGTGCGTCGGTGTGTGTATGTATGTATGTATGTATGTATGTATGTATGTATGTATGTATGTATGTATGTATGTATCTATGTATGTATCTATGTATGTATCTATGTATGTGTGTGGAGTGTCTTTCACCTGTAATCAATAGCCCCTGTTCTCTTGAGTCAGAGTCCTCAAACTTCGGCATTTGCAGGGTGACGGGTCAACTTCAACACGATAAGGAGAAGAGCTCGCCGTCAGCCAAGCTATCCGGCTGGTCCTTCGTGAACGGCAGCGCGGCACTGGAGTGGTAGCTGTTCGTACCATCAACGGTACATTTGGAGAGGACATAACTTCCAACATCACTGTCAAGCGTTGGTTCGCTCGCCTTGAAGGAGGAGGTACGGGCTTCGAAGACATGCCTCGGGACGCACTCATGCTATGGAAGACTTGGCTTCAGCTGTCAAAGAGGATTTCAAGGCCAGCACTCGCGACCCCGTGAAGAGTCCCGGGTGTACCTATCCAGTAGTCCTCAATCACCTTCGGGCTGCATCCCTCATGTACTGATCGAAAGCACGCAGTTCACCAGGGTATCCACTTAACCGTGTCCGGTATCTTCTCTTCGGGAACGGCGTCGCGTTCGCCGCACCCGATCTCGCGCAGTCGCGCGCTTCTAAGGGAAAGGTTGAAATTCCCATTGCAGGGATAGGGCAACCGCTGCGTGACCTTTTCCGACTACAGTGGAATTCGGGGAGGAGCTCCTGCACCCTTACTCAAAGGTACTGTTTACGATAAAAATGGTTACTGAGTTCCTCCCACTCTCTTTCATTTTTCTGGTCTCATTCTCGTCTAGCCCCTTTTCAACGATTTTTTGAAGCCCTATTCACTTTGGAAACACT